ACTCGAACTGAGACTCACCGCGGTTAACCTCAGCCGTGCTCACTCGGACTGAGACTATAACCTGAGTATAACTCAGCCGGACTCACTCAGACTCTGACTGGCACCTCAATTGGAGTCTCTCGATTCCTTTGGCCGATTTATCAGTGAGTTGGCCGACCTATAATCAGAAAACGTCTTTCGTTCAAGTCACGCATTGATGATGACCTTTCGTGTGCGTTCACGATGGTGAAATATGGAAAAATGAGGAAGGGCGGTTGCTATGCCCTCGTGACGATAATAGGGATGACCGTTACGAATCTAAGTAAAAAGAAACCAACCAAAAACACGAATGCAGCGTAGGAACCAGGAATGACAAGTGCTAGACTTACAACTAAACGTCTATAAATGCAAGCCCGTACAAAAATTGGCCAGAAGCTCATGCTTGAAAAAGGCTATCTAGGCTATCTATCAGTGGCATAATTAACCGTACATTTTTTTCAGAAAATGTTTAAAGGTGGCATAAAGAGCTGATTTCCATGGAACACCAAAGTATCAATGCCCAGTGTACCCGATATCTAGAATTGCGATTTCTTTAACGGTGAGGAAAGCTGGGGGAGCACTCACACATGGCACTTCGCTGTGTTTTTATTTCGAAGGCTTCACGAGTTTCGCGTTCAATCTTATTTTTTTTACTTTGCTGATGTCATTCAATGATTTGCAAGAAATTCATTTGTCAGGCGGCTGTGTCTACAGAGATCAGACTGGTCGAGGCCTAGTGACATCTATAGACGGGCACAAAACTTACCCCTTCGCTAGTCTCTGCGTCCCCGATACATCAGTGTCATCGGCAAAGGATGAAATAGATTGAACGTGAAGATTTTGAAGCCTTAAAAAACAAAAACAATACAAAGTGCAAGGCATGCATAAGTGATTTCTCAGTTGACCCTGCAGCTAGATAAGGAATTCGCGTTGCTAGACAGCGGGGGCACGTGGCGTTGATCATGGAAGCGTGCTGTTTGTACCATTTTGACACTTCTCATGTCTTTGTGGTGTTAGGTGTGCAGCTGTGGAACTACTCGGCCTATTTTTTACGAACGCGCACATAAGTGTGTGGACTTTCCGCAGCAAATATTTCCTTCGATGTCCTGTCCAGGTGCAGCTCCTTAGTTTGCTCTTCCAAAAACATTATACACCAACTCTCCGAGCAAGCTACGCATGCTGTGTCTATTTTCAAACATGGTTGTGACAAATCGGCATCTATAGTTAGTTGATTGAAGTCCGAGAAAAAGACGGGTGAAGGAAAGGCAGATAACTTGGTTTGATAGCGTGGCTTAAAGCATCGCACGGAGTGCAGGGCAAAGCTCGTTGAAAATACAAGCCCACACTTCAGTGTTTTGTCCGCATTCATATTCTGTGTGTTACTTTACAGTTCACACAAACTTTATTTATGGTAATCACCACTCCGTCTAGTTTCATTGATTTCGCTCAAGCTGCCGACTACAATGGGGATCGTCTTTGATTGATTTCACCTATATTTGTCATTTTACCTTTCTTTGTCCCTTAAAGGCTATGCATGTGGTCCAGTTTCTAACTGATTTCTTTTTTTTTTCTTTGTAAATATGCCCTAAACAGTTAGCCCTTCCTCAGTTATACCTATATCTGCCATACTCATAGAAGAGAAGCGCTTCTACCCTGCCCGTCCCCAGTCCTGGCCTCTACACTTCGCATTAGAACGGCCTTTGTTCTTCGACTCGCTTTTTCAGTCATAATTAATAATATTCCAGTATTGACTTTCACACCTTTCACCATTCTTCAAAGCCCGCCTCACACATTACACATTCTCGTGAGCTAGAATAAGCCGACAATCCTCACCCATGATCGCTGGATGAAAGAGCGCACGGTGCGCTGTTTCATCCAGCGGCCGTGCCTCGTCAAACACCCCCATTGGCGCTGCAACTGACCGGGATTCACTAAGATGCAGTCAACTCAAAAGTATCCTAAAATTCACGTTTAAATCTAGTCCAACACTGCCTTTCCATATTATTAGGAGCACTCGACAAGTTTTTTACAGTCCAGTTATTTAACTTGAAATGACAGATGAACCAATTTCAATGCAATTGCGAAGTGGCCAGAATTAACAAAGGCTGGACTGGTTACAGAGGGGGCAAAATAAACGTAGGTTAGGTGAAAAAAAATTCTATTAAAATGGCGCGCCGAAATGACACGTCGCTGTGGCGACGGCGACGCGCCGGTGGCGGCGGCATAGCAAAAATTGTCTGTCGGTGGCGGCGCGCCGACACCACGGCGGACACCTCTAAATGTTATGCTCTTTAGAAATTTGTCTGGCAACCACTACAAAACGTGTGTGTTTGCATTCGGGCGCGCCGTTGTTCAACCGTTGGCAATTTGTTTGCAAGAGTAACTTGATGCAGTTTGTTGGGTGGTTGTTGTAATGCCCGTGGAGTGGATCTCGCTAGGTTGTTTCTTTGTAAAAAAAAAAAAAAAAAAGACGTTCTGGTGTGTCATCACTGCAGAACAGATATGATGAGAGCGAGCACAAGCTTCGCGGGCCAGTCACATGGGCCAGTCATCATGGAACCTGTTGCGATATGTGAGGGCAGAGGGCAAGCCGGGAGGAAGCCACAAGATGTCATCGCACGCTTCACGAACTTCGTCCAAGTTGTACATTGATATTACCGCCTTACTTTGGCAGCCGTGGCCAGAAAACAGCAGCTGACTTAGTAAGCCTTTTGTTTACGTGTTTCTTGTTGGATGCGAAACAGTCTTGGTCTCTTCTTGCGTAAGGGTAAAGTGATAAATCATAGGCTAATCAATCTGGATGGGGGTAGGGGGACGACAGTTAATCTGCTGAATAAAGCTAGGGGCTGGAGCCCCTTCACTTTTCACAGTGGCAAATGTCGGCTGCACACTGGTAAACCATCAGCTGAAATGTTTTACTTTTACATAGTGTTCATGTGATGTCAATTCCGCCGTTGTCGCCCTCTCCCGCCATGCCCGGGTATCTCCCTGCGTACCTACAGCAGTTCACGTGCTGCAGCGCGGTTTGTTGGGGGCTCGTCATCTGTTGCTGTGTGCAAAGTTGAAAGGGAAGCATTGTGGTTTTTGTTGTCGTACTTTAACAAGCCCATCGTATAAGGAAGGCTTCGCTTGTTCACTCGATACAAGACCAAGACCAAAAAATCAAGATGTGCGACACGTATACCAGCCACCGCGTACACCGGCTGCCCGCCACGGCCTACGAGGACCCATTATCTCACTTTCACTGCAAACACTGCAACTTGCGTGGCCCAAGAACAAGTGAAAGCCCAAAGTCTTTCAAGCCGTAATTTTAAGAGTAGATGAGTGAAGCGCAGCAGCTCCTATCGAAAACGATTAGTGCAGAGCTAGGCAAGTTTACAAGAGATATAATATTATTATTAATACATTGCTGCGGCCAACGCCACCAAAGCAGCAGCGTTCCCCCCCCCCCCCCCCCTCCTAAAGTGTTTTAAACAGTGCTGATGTTGAGCCTTTTTGATTAATAATTGTGGAAGCAGCCGAGGAAAATATTATGCGAGGCAGATAGAGACTTCGCGTGGCGCGTGCCGTGTTAATGCCGGTCATAACTTTTTTTGCGCGTATGTTTTGACACCTTTTCCACCTTGAAATTTTTTGTTGTATGCTAATGTACAGTGGAGTCCCTCTAAATGATGGAGACCGTGTTAGGAAATTAATTGACCAATTTTTGAAAACCCTGACCCCCCAACTCGAACCGATCGCCTATACTTCAAGTGAATAACATTGTTTCGCATTCATTTTCACAGTCTGTTTCAATGGAATACCTGAATTTCCGCGCTCGCCATCACGATTTTAACTGACACGCTGATTGTGCACACAGTGGTCACGGACGAGTTTGTATTTACAGTATCTTGGTAAGCTATGTCTGTTTGCAGGTACGTGCTTGGCTATAGCATTTATCCGCAATGAAGTTACACAAGAAGACACAATTATCACAGAGTTTCTTCAAGTAGTTTTTGTTAATCCGCGCCAGCCAAACACGCCGGTACTCTTCAGGAAATCGCAATGTGCGTTCTCAATTATAAGTAATAACTTTCAGCGAAGAAACACCCTGAAGCTCTGCTCCCCCTTCGTGGACTACTAAGTCAACTTGCCTCACTAGCTGCTGATAATCCCTAAAACTTGGATCATGAGGCAAAACTAATTGGGCGCAAGCACGAGGAGGCAGCACGGCAACGGTAGGCGACGGAGTCGGTATGTACCCGGGCTTGTCGGTGGCACATTTCGAAAGTGACCAAGGAGCGCTGCGTGACGCACGTGCACACTATGTATAAACAGCAATCACTTAATGACATAAAGAATCTGCGTTTTTGTTTTGCTGTGTCTTACAACTACGCATGGGAAGTTCTCTGCGGTGCAGGCCGCCTATGCGATGCTTTTGTGCCTTGAGCTACAACATTGCAGGGAAGGCTACCAATGAGTAGGTGCTGCAAACGCGAGAGCCCTATGTCATGATTTTAATCTGCTCTGCATGGTCCTAAATTTACACTCAATCGATGACGCTAATCGGACAGAGACCGGTAAACATTTCGTGGGCCAGTCAAACACCCTTCCTCTTTCAGGAAATCAATTTTCTTTAATCAGGAGGTAATAGCATCACGACCGGGCTATATGCAGTTTTCTACGCGTTGATGAGTGTGCAGAACTGTTGAGTGTTTTAGTCGGGAGAGCTAAGAAATATTTCGAAGGGGCCAGAATTAAGAAAGGCCTGACTGGTGACAGAAGGCGCAAAATAAACGTAGGTTAGCTGAAAAAAAAAATACTATTTAAATGACGCGCTGAAATGACACGTCTGCTGCGGCGACGCGCTGATCAGTTGGTGGCGGCGGCATAGCAAAAATTGTCTGTCGGTGGCGGCGCGCCAACACCTCGGCGCACACCTCTAAATGTTATGCTCTCTAGCAACTAATCTGGCAACCACTACAAAACATCTTTGTTTGCATTCGGGCGCGCCGTTGTTCAACCGTTGGCAATTTGTTTGCAAAAGTAACTTGATGCAGTTTGTTGGGTGGTAGTTGTAATGCCTTTGGAGTGAATCTCGCTAGGCTGTTGCTTTGTGAAAAAACTTTGTGTTGTGTCGTCACTGCAGAACAGCTATGACGAGAGCGAGCACAAGCTTCGCGGGCCAGTCACATGGGCCAGTCATCATGGAACCTGTTGCGATATGTGAGGGCAGAGGGCAAGCCGGGTGGAAGCCACGAGATGTTATCGCACGCTTCACGAACTTCGACCAAGTTGCACATTGATATTACCGCCTTACTTTGGCAGCCGTGGCCAGAAAACAGCAGCTGACTTGGTAAGCCTTTTGTTTACGTGTTTCTTACAGTCTTGGTCTCTTCTTGCGTAAGGGTACAGTGATAAGTCATGGGCTAATCTATCGGGAGTGGAGGGGGGGGGGGGGGAATTTAGTTGCTCTGCTGAATAAAGTTAGGGGCTGGAGCCCCTTCACTTTTGACAGTGGTAAATCTCAGCTGCACACTGGTAAACCATCAGCTGAAATGTTTTACTTATAAACAGCAATCACTTAATTACACGATGAATCTGTGTTTTTTGCTGTGTCTTACAACCATGCATGGTAAGTTCTCTGTGGTGCAGGCCGCCTATGAGATGCTTTTGTTCTTTGAGCTACAACATTGCAGGGAAGGCTACCACTGGGTAGGTGCTTCAAATTTGAGAGCCCTATGTCATGATTCTATTCTGCTCGGCCTGGCCCTAAAGTTACTCTGAATTGATGATGCTAATACGGTCAGGAAACGGTAAACGTTTCGTGGACCAGTTAAACGTCTTTTCTCTTTCAGTAAATCAATTTTCTTTAATCAGGAGGTAATAGCATCACGACCGCACTATATCCAGTTTTCTACGCGTTGATGAGTGTGCAGAGCTGTTGAGGGTTTTATTTGGGGGGGCTAAGGAATGTTTCCCTCTGAGCGTCCAATTGACCTGCTTCGTCTTGCCAACATTTTTATATTAGTCTAAAAACATTGATCTTGCTTATGATGAGATAGCTTGAATTGATCGCAGCTGTTTTAAGCAAAGCGAGCGCTGAGGCAGTGGACTCAAGTACATCGGGAAGCTTAGCTATGGCCCCCACAACTTGATCTACCCGACCAGGGAAGTGGTCAAGGTACGCAATTTTCAACACTTAGAATTTGTCAGAGTTCTGAAACTGCAATATGATTATGAGGGACTTTGCTGTTTTAGTGCTCGGGAAACTCTGACCACTTGTGCTTTTTAAACGTGCACCTAAAACTAAGCATTTTCTCCATCATCGTAAGTGTGGCCATTGCAACATGGATTTGATAGCACCACCTGTGTTTTCTGGATTAAGGAGACTTAATTGACAGCTAGTGGGTCTCGAGTCATCCTGAATCGGGTTGTACTGGGCACATACAAGTCAGACAGCAAAGCAGCACACAAACAAGTGCTATGCTGTTTATTTCTCTCCCTTCCGCACTCTCTGTTACTAAGGGTGAGTTCACAGAGTTGTACATATGCACAGTCAGCTTGATGTCATTACACTACAAAAGAAAATATTTATTTTGCTCATATGAATCTATCTCAAAATAGCCTTCTTGAATTACATTCAGAATGAGACCTTATCTGGCTATTCCAAGAAATATTTAGTTATTATGCAGCATAGTAATGCCCTGTTTAGTGGGCATAGATATCTCTAACACCACGAAATTTCACAAGTTTGTATCGCCGGCAAACAAGCACAGGATGTTAAGCCACATAAAAAATGCTTGACAAATGGCAATGAACCAATGGCCGAAAATGCACTGTCTTAAAATTCGTGTGTTCTCTTATTTTTTATTTAGTCTTGCATGAATGTCCATTATGCAATGAATCATTTAGGGGTCGTCTGATGGATTGTGTTACAAGCATGACCCTCAAAAAATAAACCAGTCATTAACAGGTAACGACCAAAAGGGACATAAACGATCTGCGGTACTTTTGCTGTAGAATCACCCAGATCTCTTTACATAACATTTCTGCTTACATTGTTTACATAGGTATATTTACTTGGAGGAGCCAGAGGCCTTGCTATCAGAGTAGAAAGTAGCGCAATGCAGCAAAGACAAACAAAACCAAAGAGAAGCGGTACTGGTTGTTTACTCTTTCTTGTTGTGTTGTACTGTTTTCTGCTATGAAGTTTGCACGCTCCAAGCAAATTTGCACATACAACTAAGTATAGTATAAAAATTGTGCTATGCTTATAATAGCACCAGTTCTTACATAAAAAAAATGTGTGGTTTGCAAGTTTCGAATTATAGTAACATGCAATAGTAATGTAGGATTGATATATGGCACAAGCAGGGACACCAGTAAAAAAAGAGAAGGACGACTGTTGTTGCTGCTCGCGCTCACTTCGCTTGACAGCTGGTTGGTTTTACCTCTGCCATTTCTCTAATAAACATGTCTTCGTCTCACCGCTAAAGGTGCACTAACAAGTAGTGAAGGTGCTGGGTATTGATCTCAGCACCTCTCGCTCAACAGTAATAATATTAACAATGCACTAGGAAGGCTATTTTCACTAAAGCAAACAAAACAAATTATAACATATGCAAACCTGAATATCTTCCAGAAAGTGTGTTACTGATTATATAACAGAAAATATGCAATCTCTGCTATCCACACTTACAAACTCAATTATTAGTGAGCAGCTTCTACCTGTGAACGAATGTTCATTTAGTGACGCAAAGCTATAATACTGGGTAGGCTGCCATTAACATATTTGTATTCATGCATGAAGTTGTGTGGTTTAGCAGTTAATGTATACAAAGTATTGCTTGAAGTACTATTACATGTATGTGTAAGGTTTTTTTATTGTATACTACATAGAAGTGTGTTTCAACAAGGCTGTTTGCTGGTCTAGTTGGTACTTACTCAGAGATACAATTTATTTATGAATAAAAATGCACAGAAAAAGGACAAAGTTGGAGCGAGTGCCGATTCCACTTGAATTGTTGTGGGTGTTAACCCAGAAATAAACAATGTACATGTGCTCTGTCATCACAACCAAGGCTATCCAGTGATCAAACAATCTCTTTTTCGAGGTGTACTGTGCAGCAGTTGTACCGCTCATGCAACTTGTCCCTTTCTTTTTTATATAATATGCTTCATGCGCGTTATGCGACCTGCTTCTGCCTAAAATTTTAATCACTTTACAATTTGGCTGACACTTTCAGGTTTTACAATGCACTGGCAAGTGCACCATGTCATTTCTTGTTAGATTTTGTTCATGCTCTCTGGCTTGTTCATTTGCACAGCACCCAATCTGCCCAATGAATGATTTGCCACTAGAAAAGAGAATTAAATATAGCACGCCTTTAGCATGTCTCCCCTATCTGGTGCCATGTTTTTGCTAAACTCGTCCTACTAGCCTTCTCTCGAGTAGTTCTCCGGCACAGTTGAGCGAGCTTAACGGGCGCAGGGAATGCAATTGGTACCAGTCTGCAAGTTCTTTCAGACTGTAGGCCTTATGAATGTGAGAAATTATGGCAGGTCTTGTGGCTTCTGTGTCTTCACGGTCCCCCGTGTGATCGCTGGCAGACCTTTGTTTTGGTTTCTATAAAAGTGTACCGAAACCTGCAGTCAATAACGAGTCAGGAAAGCTTATAGATTAAAGTCACTTGATCTGATTGTCAAAAGACTCCTGCATCGTCTGCGTGGTCGATTTCTCTAGAAAAGACTCCAGGCAGAGCATAGCAATGCCATGCTTGACAATTTTAGATTGGCAGGAATCGTACGGCATTACTCCTTTCTTTGCACGCAGAAAATACTTTTTACAAAATGCCCGTTAAGAAATGCAATGCCACGCTTGACAATTTTAGATTGGCAGGAATCGTACGGCATTACTCCTTTCTTCGCACGCAGAAAATACTTTTTACAAAATGCCCGTTAAGAAATGCCATTGTCAAGTGAAAAATTGCAGGTGTTCCGCTGTGGCATTTCTTGTATAAATACGAAACCTTTCCCATGAGCCAAGTAGCATGAACTAAATCTAATGAGAAATGGCTTGTCACATTTTCTAATGCATTGTGAAACCATCAAGTGTAAGCCGCGTTTTAGAGAGATTAAGATTTTAAGCAGAAGCGAGCATGAGATTATGCATGGATTGATGGAAGTGCAAAAGGAATGGAACAAGTTATTTTAATGATATGTTTGCTGCGTTGTACACATCAAGAGAGGTTGTTGATAGCACAGGCTGTACTGAGACTGCGCATGTACATTGTCAATTTATTTCTGTGTTAGTGTCCACAACAATTCAGTTGGAAATGCTGCTCGTTGCGCCTTTGTAGTCCTGGCTTTTGGGCATTTTTTATTTGCGGCTGAATTGTCTTTAATGTTCAAGTGATTATACACTTTCTATAATGCTATTCAACACTGCTAACCAAACTGTCTGTATACGAAAAATCAAAGTAAATTGAGTGTGAATGAAGTTCTCCTCTCTCTTTCTCTCTCTCTCTCTCTCTCTCTCTCTCTCTCTCTCTATATATATATATATATATATATATATATATATATATATATATATATATATATTGTGGGCATTATTTATTTAGCATTATTTAGCAAGAGGAACTGATTATTCCTGTGGTTGAGTCGCATGTAATATTCGTGAACTATTCATTTTTTTTTTTTGTAATATGATTATTGAATCCGACCAAAATTGAAAGGGTCTAGAGGAGCAGGTAAATTTCAGCGAATTTGGCCTTCTGTACCGAGCAGTTTTTTTTATTATTTTGGCATAAAACAAACTGCAGGATTTTCAAGTTCGGGCTAGCTTCTCGTTAACACCGTGTTTTTGTGAAGAAGATGGCGCATTAGGATAAAAGTTTACTGTGGTGGAATCCTTCTGTGCCTCTGGATTTTGCATCGTGTTGGGCCCTCTGCAACAATTTTGCTGGCCTAGACTTGAACTCCTGTGCTCAAGGAAACAAGCCCGGTCCGAGTCGCTACGTGCCCCTGCACCTGTGCAAGGATCGGTCTGTGTTTCCTGGGCCTCCTCAGGGCAACGCCCAGGATTATGGCCAGAAATCTTTCCCTGAACCACAGAGAGGCGAGGACTGGGGAGCAAGAGACGGCTTCAGGGGTGACCGTGCCGATTTCTTAAATTTTGGAGGCCGCAACAAGAGGAATGATGGCCCCGTGCGCAACAATGCTTTTGCATCGTGCCAGAGTGGAGGCTCGAATGGGCGCAGCCCGGACGAGATGACTCGCGAAGCACCCCTTGAGAGTTCCCGTGACGGTGACGGCTGGGGTCCGGACGACCGTGGCGAAAACTGGGACTGCCGCAATGGGGGGCAACGCAGCCTCGACACTGACGAGGACTGGACCAGACCGCTTCCTAGGGATGAACGGATAGAGCGAGAGCTGCTCTCTCACGGACACACAGGCATAAACTTTGAGAAGTATGAGGACATTCCTGTGGAGGTCACTGGTGATGATGCACCGAAGCACATCAACTCGTTCGACGACTGCTCCTTGACGGTGAGGACATTGAGGTGGCACACTACACCTCGCTCACGCCTGTGCAGAAGCATGCCATCCCCATCATTCTCTCCAAGCGCGACTTGATGACCTGCGCCCAGACAAGGTCTGGCAAACAGCATCAGAATCTCGACGCTCTCTCTCGCTTCCCTCTGCCACTTTCATCTCCAACCACATATTTTCAGCACCCTTCAGGGGTTCAAGCGGCTTCCTCTTCACTCAAGTTATCACCCCTGGCTGTTGCTGGGTCGCTATCTTTAAACAGCAGCGCTCAGTTTGCCGCGAGCCAACGTGACGACCCCTACTGTGACCGCATCATCAGATGCTTGAGTGGCTCGCCTTCTCCACCTAATGCCAGACTACGTCGTCAGCTACGGCAGTTCAAGCAAGAGAACAATGTCCTGCCGCGGTATACTTATAATGCGAATGGGCATCGGTGGGTGCCAGTACTTCTCCATTCACTGCGAAAACAAGTTCTCGAAGCATTGCACGACGACCCGTCAGCTGGGAAAAGACCTACAACTGCATTAGGAGCTATTTATTCTGGCCTGGTATTTCTACCTTTGTGGCTCACTATGTCGCTTCTTGCGCACTTTGTCAACGCCGGAAACGATCAACTTAAGCTCGTGCTGGCATATTACAACCCATTCCATGTCCCGATACACCTTTTGACGTTGTCGGAACAGACCGCATCAGACCACTTTCCGTGATGCCAGCGGGTCACCGCTGGATCGTCACAGCCGTCGACCACACCTCACACGATACGTGTAGACCGCTTTCCTACAAACTAGCTCTGCCTTGGACATTGCTGCCTTCTTTTTAGAAGCCACTGTGTTGTGTCATGGTGCACCTCGCACGTTGTTAAGGGACTGAGGCAAGGCCTTCCTGTCCACAATTCTTGACAAAATTCCAAAAACTTGTGGCACAGTTTATAAGACCACTTCCGCTTACCACTCGCAAATGGCCTGACAGAGCGATTCCACCGGACTCTAATCGACATGATATCTATGTACATCAGACCGAACCACGATAACTGGGACAAAATCTTGCCGTTCGTAACGGCTGCACACAACACTGCTGTCCAACGAACCACCGGGTATTCACCTTTCTTCCTCGTCTATGGTCGTGCACTGACATTCACTATTGGCACCACTTTCTTCAATGTAATGACAAAAACGTCCACGACTACGCCAGAACATTTCGTCTGCAAACTCGCTGACACACGGCAATGTGCTCAACACGAAGGCCAGTCAACAAGACCGCAAGCAATGCTATGACAGCTTTTGTTGAGACGTCACCTTTCATCCTGAAGATGAAGTACTAATTTTCAAAATTCATGACTCAATTTTCAAAAATTTCAGTCATGCTTTCTTGGACCTCATGCTGTTTGTGAACGAACTTCTCCTGTCAATTACCTTGTCACTCCCGGAGAGGGTTCCTCGGACCACCGTTATCATGCCTCCAAGATAGTCCTCGTTTCACGTCTTAAACCCTTTGTTCGCCGTACCTTTCCTGCCCAAGTCTCGGCCGGGCCGGCCGCTCAAGTGCACGGGAAAATAAGTGTGAGCATTATTTATGCGTCCCATCTTTTCATCTGTATATACTCATCATCGCCACTCCACCAGTTTAAGTTGTGGGGCTCATACTCCAGACAATAAAAAAGAGTCTTTAGGGTCTTGGACGCTGTCTTACAAGAAAAATATATATGAAAAAGGTGTCCTTGCATCCAGTGGAAAAATACCAAAAAGTGGAGGACGGGCAAAACGAAAACTTTTTATTTTTCCTACGTTTCAGCTGGGGACCGGCCTTCATTAGGGAAAACTTTCATTAATTCCTACGTTTCGGCCGGGGTCCTGCTTTATTCAGGGAAACGAACGCCGTCCTTGATGAAGGCCGAACCTCGGCTGAAACGTAGTAAATAATAAAAGTTTTCGTACATTCGTCCGCTTAAGCCAATGTCTATCACTCTCTCTCTTTCTCTCTCTCTCTCTCTATATATATACATATATATATCATAAATGTCCTTTTGGCTACTGTGATAAATCTTTAAAAATTTACACATCTGCTCCTATGGGCAACCATGATAGAACTTGAAAACATTTCGATTGGGTATGCAATGAGCATCAAGTTTTTTGTTTCATTTGGCAACACAACCAAATGAAAGTTGGGGTGAGAGAATGTTTTGAAAGGAGAGGAGACGCTTGTATGGGGTGTTGTAGCTTCATTCAGAGGTCGTACGGGATTTCCTCTGCCTGTGCACACGGTATCTTGAAGACAATGGTTTTGTGGTCAGTCGGGCGGAGGCAGTTGCCTCATGTCTCTGCACAGGATCATGTCTAGGTCCCCAAACAGATCTGTTCTTCAGCTGGTTTCAGCGTAAGAAAGTGTTCGGGCTTCGACGTGTTGACATTTGTGTTCGGCTTCCCTGGCCCGAAGTTCGGGGTCCGCTGCCGACGCTGACAATTACGTTTGGCTTCCTGAGCCTTCTGCTTAGGCAGTGGCGCTGTTTCTACAACTAGCGCTGATGTTGATAGAGTTCATGGCCTTTCACACACCGTTGCACTGAGAGACAATGACGGAAGTCACGGAAGCACAGCAAAGCGCACTTTATACTGCACCACAAAACTTGCGCCGCCCAGCGGCGTACCCTTAGAGAAGGAGGAAAAAAGAGAGAGAGAGTTATATGCGATGATTTGCTGTGCCACAGCTGTGGTGGAGAGGGGGCGAGGAAACATCTCACCTGCCTAGGAAAGGAGAATGAAAGAGCGTTGTTTATGCCCAGTATGGGTGCTGATGCCGCAGAACGGACACTGCCCCAGCATGCTCTAACATCTAAAACTTAAAAAATAATGCAACATAAGAAACGAAACAAATATTTATTTTGTTTTAACAGTTTTGGCTGGCAGTCCAGCCTTCTTCCGAGATGTAAGTGAAAGACCTGGAGTGAAGGGCCGCTCACTGAATTCAGGGGCCACAGAAGGACATTTGAGACATCATCTATGACATAAGGACACCTCAGCCATCATTGATGGCTCTCAAGGTACCTCTTCCACGGTTTCTATTCCCGTCGAATGAAAATGCCAGTCTTTGTGTCTTGATGTGAATCGCTGGCACAAGGAACGGTTTCACAATACTGGGCTTCTTTTCATACACGGTGACCACGTTAGTGTTACACATGGGCACTAACAACATTGCATGCTCACCAGGCACTATTGTACTCCAAAAGTACAGAAACCTGGTGACCAGAATCATAGAACTATGCCCTGAAATTACGATGATGGCCACCTTGATGCTGCCTAGGGCCACAGATTGCCACTGTGCGTGCCTCAGTGGTCCCGTCACCATGTGTATCAATAGGAAAGTGGGCTGATTCGACCATCTGGTTTGAGCGCGGCATCGTCAAAGTGCAAAGCTGTTTTCCGTCGACCATGCCTTGGAATGGTTTCCGCCTGGCCGGGTACTAGCAGCCGATAGTTCAGCTATAACCAGCAAAGGTTACCTTTTAGGAGAATGTAACAGTAGCAGCTGAGTCATTACTTAATCATAAACGATGCATCTATCAACCTTACAGGGTTTGTAATACAGTACAGCACATGTAGGACAGCGGAAATTATGAAGGGAGATCAGGTGGGGCTAAATCAGTCAAGTTTCATGGACATAGAAGCAGAAGAGCTGGCCAATTACGAAGAGCAATATCGATGGACGTTTCAGGACAAAAAGAACAAAAAGTGACGCGAGACGGCATAGTGCCGGCAACAGTCCGGTCAGTCATCCTTTCACAATGTTTACAAATCAAATTGAAACCTCCTCAGAATAGTACCAATGTCGCCTTTGTGGTTGACCTGTCTAGCAAACCTTTGACATCTACACAAATGAAGGTGCTCTCAAAAGCTCTTATCTTGTGTCATGGCTCTGGTAAAATTCAAAAGTTCTAGCTTTACCAGTATTTGTATAAGTGCCAGAACCTTGCATGTAAAAAAATTATTTTCATGACCGAAACAGCACACAACGAACTCAATTTTCAGATAAATCATGGACTCTCAACAAACAATTAGACAAATATTTAGACATATATATTTGCGCTTTACAAGAGAATGTCATCAAGGAATATCAAAAGCATCGACCTCTTTGCAACAAGCTATTCTAGAATTGTGAAAGTCTGACAGACAAGGACGTAGAAAAAAGCCTCGGCGGACTTCTACGCCCTTCTTTGTCACATAATTCATGGATGCAATTTATGGATCCAAACCAACTAGTCTACCAATGTGTTCAGTAATCTGTCCAAGGATGAACAGCAGACTGTGTAGTTTAAGTGAGAGCCAGAACATCATTATCAAGCCGGCTAATGAGGGTGGGGCTGTTGTTGTACTTGGCAGCACTGACTGATAAAGGAAGGGCTTCACCAAATGGCTGGTGGAAATTTTTTAAAGAACTCTCTTGCGATTGCACAGATGAATATGAAAAGGAAATGAAAACCTCATTAATCTCATTATGTAAAAGCAGTAAAATAACGCATCCTTTGAAAGGGCAAGTGTGTTTACACCAAGTTGAAGAGGTGATCACGGGAGCGCCCAGGTGAAAGCGGCTAGTTAGTTAAATAAGTACTTAGGTGGGTGCATAAATAGATGGGTGAGATGGGTGGGTGAATGGTTCGGCAGGAAGGAACAAACAAACGTTCAAGGTGCATGCATCTGACAGAGAAAGCATTTTAAATGAAGCTGTCGATAGATAAGACTGTTGTTTATAAATGTTACCGTGTCATGTTCTTTTTTTAAGGCAGCTTGCACAGCTCTGAGCTAGTCAGAAGAAAAAAAGGTTGACTACATCAGTCAAAAACTAGAATAAAGGCTCAGTAAGATCAGTGTGTGCAAAGAGTTCATCATATTTTGCCTAAGGACTGGACATGTATAAAGTTCATTATTCCAGCTAGCCCAGTAAGTGTGATGGGGCAGCCGTGGGTGGCTGCTACTACTCTGGTTGAGGCTGGCTTGAGAAATCAAGAGCGTCAAGTCGGGCTTGCCGCCAGTGTGACAAGAATCAAATTTTTCGCTTTGGGTCCAGCGGTGCACCCGAGGCTACTATGAAGTTGCTTGTTCCAATCATTTCAAGTGCTGATGCGGCAGTGGTAGTTGTCACCGCATTTCTGTCTTTCTCGGGGGTCTCTGCGGGAGCTGCCTATAATCTCCTAGTGAATGATTGCCCTCCAGCTGCCTGTGCTTTTTGAAGCCTTTTCTGGGCGGAGAAACCCAGAGAGATCCCCAACAAAGGCTCATCATAGCTCGATGACTTCGTCGTTGCAGTGGCTGCTTGTTGTCTGCCATTCCTTTCAATTTAGCATTTTTTAGAGGCGAAGCACCTTAACACCCCACAATGTCCCTCAGTCCATAAACACTTCCCAGCTTGCATAAGCACTGCCTAACTACTGCCCATCACGATGCTCAGTAGTTAGGCCTGCCGCCTCGACGATAGCTTTGCCCACAGTTGTAGAACCGACTTTCTCCAAATTCATTCCACGCTGCGGGCAAATTACTATTTTAATGAGCTCTTCCGGCCTCGGTGGCATTCGCGAGGCCTTCAGAATGCATTGCTTAATTGAGAAGCCTCTGCGCCCTCCATCTGTGCCCTGTCGTTCAGCCAGCTCACCTTGTGAACCATCATTACCTGGTGCAGGCATCGCCGGAAGTCTTGATTTTCAGTTGGACACCGTCCGCAATCCGAAATCTTTAGTAAATTCCTCTGGTGACAGCACTTCTCCTTCTATTTGCATAGCTGCTATGCCGGACGTGCGCGTCTCATCACGTATGGCTGCCAAACACTGTGCCTAGCGCTTGGCCAACGCGGCAGCAGCACAAAAGTTGTGATAATGACCAGAAAAACAGTGGCCCACTTCAAAGTTCGATATTTGCCGAATCTTGTCTTCTTCACAGATTGGATGATCTCAAATACGCACCACACAGTGACAAAAATGCTGCGGAAACATTTGCAAAAGATGGAGCCGAAGTGGACGTGTCTGCTCACCCCGGCGACCGCAGCGTCTCCTCCAGGTTCTTGTAATGCTGTTCTACTTTTCTCAAAAAATGGCTCAGCTTGTTCACTGTGTTGAGAAAAGTTGTCTGCGTCTTTCTTTAGCAGATACGTTCACCAATTTCATGAAAAAAAAAAAGATAGATTTTAGGTCTAAAAAAGACTAAAAGGTAAGTAAGAAATATTCAAGATGTAAAATGCTGTCCATCATGTGCTCAAACATTGCTGGCGCATAACACAGACTGAATGTGATTACTTTCAATTCATGCAGTCCATTTGGCGTAACGAATGCCGTCTTAGGACGGTCACGTTCTGCCACCTGAACCTGCCAATAACCTGAGCTTAAGTCCATCCAAGAAATGTATTCGGCAACTTATAGGCAGTCGATGTTGTCGACACGGGAAAAAAAATTGACATCTTTTCATGCGTAATTTTGTTTAGACAAAGTCAGATAGCTAGGTCTGGAATGCTGTCAGACATTCTGTCATGGTTTGCATAAGGCATTATCTACATGTGCTGTAGGCCGGCAGCATAAAATATAAAAAGAAAGGGGCACGTTTCATTTCATTTCATTTCATTTATTTATACTGTTAGCCCAGAAGTGGGCCGTTACAGGGTGGAAGTACAAACAATTATTTGCAAAAAAGAAGTACCGTACAGGTCTCGAGATAATTTCTCGGTGGCAATATGAGCATGTTCCAGATGCTTAAAAACGAAGGAGGGTTGTCTGTATTGCCCTTTGCAAGTGCATGAAGTGGGCAGTCTTGTTGAACCTAATTCAAGGGCTTACACGAGGGTTCATGCAGACCTTCCTGATTGCTTGTCCAAAAGCGAAATTCTCAAGGCTGCATATGTTTTGTTGGAGCATAAATCATCCCTCTACTTTGTCAAAGCTTCGCGATGTCAAAAGACATCGCGACAAAAAAACTGGAAATCGGATGTGCTGCTGCCACTCATTTCGGGGGGGGGGGGGGGGGGGGGGTTGAAGTGAAGCCAATGAGGAGCGGGTTGATTTTTGTTTTTGGTAGGCACAATTATCAAAAGAACCCCGTCACATTAAAAATACTGTAAATTTGGGCTTACAGTGGTTCTGTTCACTTTTTTTAATCTTTTTGAGTTGTAATAAACTGTACAAATTACCACAAATTACAGGCTACTAAACCTTAGATCAATGCCCATTTTGCTCCACTAAACATTTGGTATCAGTGGGGTTGGGTAACCAGTTTGAATAAGGTTTGGTGTCTTGACGGGCAGTCATAAGGTCAAATTAATGTAAGAAAGAAAACGTTATACAAGTATATGCATTATTCAGATCGCAATGAACACCAGTAGCTGAATAAATGAGCAAATTCAGCTCAACCCAATTTTTCGCTTTCTCGCTCGTTGTGCGTGCTAGTTCCAATGACAGTATGCCCGGAACAACAGGTGCATGATTTACAATACATGAGTTGATAGGCAATGATGAGGCGTGACACCTGGCAAAAAATATTGAAAGAGCTTTTGTAGTGTTTGGGCACCTTTACGGGAATAGGAGCTGTGAGAGACAGCGAGCAAGACAGGAGAGTTGGGGGTACATACCACCCCTCCTGTCTTGCTGGCTGTAGTGCCACTGTGGCATTACGATATCGTAATACCGTACCATACTGTATTACCGTAACGCTGTGGTTAACTCTGAATGCACAACGGTCCAACTGTGGTGCTGCCGACGTGTTGCACAACAACATAACATTTCCTCCCTCTGCACCACCGAGAAATGCACGAAGAAAGAGAGGAATGGGGAGGATTGTTTCTCCTCCTAAAGCCACTCAAGGTCGTTTTCAACTTTCAAGGTGACAAGACACGAGTACAAGCCCTTAGGAGCCTTCTTTACTTGGAAGAAAAAGATAAGTGCAAATAGTTTTTCTGAGAACCGTGCCTGCGGCTGCACACGTTGGTAGGTGGTTTCGGAGGTGTGCATGTGCTGGCTGTAAATTAAACAATTTATTTGAAGTGCTTCAAAATGAGCCACAGATGTAATTATAGTCGCTTTCCGTGTAGCTTCTTTTCTTTGTACAGCTTTTCTTCTGATTGTGCGTACTTTTCGAGAGGTGCAGAAGTACTCGGACAATGAAGCTTTACTGCAAATAGTGTGAGTTTGTGGACTAGACTGCAGAAAAAATGCCCAAAATATATGTGCAGCTAAAGCACCTCATTCTCAAGTTGGTAGATTTCGCCCTTTCAAACACTTCGGTGAGGCCCCACCGGTCTAACAGTGGTCTTGGAACAGACTTGCAGGCTTCGACTTTGCGCTAAGGCATGAGACAACTGAAAGGCTTTGCTCAAAGTGGTGCATTCTGAATTTTTGATGGCTGGTTGGCCCACCTGGTTTGTACGTGGTGATGAAGTTGACTGACGGACATATTGAGTGAACACGAGCATTTATAGAGAACAAACAAGCATTTAACTAGAATGTGGCTGATAGCGAGAGCAACCAAAATCAACGATTCGAGGAAAAAAATATGGGAGATGAAAAAAAAGAGAAAAAAATATACACTGAAATAACTTCAGGTGCAAAAAAGCTAGACAATGCAGTATGTTAATAAAATAACTCGATAGGATGGACTCTAACAGAAACCAGAAAAGTTATGTGACCCAGCTCTCGCTTCGGAGCTTCTTGTGCGACATATCGCACACTGGCTCAGTGATAGTTACTGCTGTGGATAATAAAAAAATGGTAACAAGAAATCTCAATAAAAAGTTCTGTATAGACCATGGTGCTCGTAGAAGAGATGGGTGCCACTGATAATCTCGTCAGTTTCAGTATAGATGATGGATGTGCCCGGTGTTGCAGTTGACTTAATTCATTGTGCGGGACACTACGCGCTCACTGCTTACTCGTAACTTGCAAGAACGATTGCTGCGCTCTTCGCTAGTTCAACATCAACTGCTGAAGCAGCCAAATTCTATTGCAGCTGTGACCATTTTCCCAGGCGTTTCCGTTGTCATGGTTGTCTCTAAGCGCGCGCGTCTTTCCAACGCCGCGCTTGTGAGCACCGATTTGGCTGTCTGGGAAAGCATCCGATGTGGGAAAGCATCCGAGGCACTGTTCCCGCAGTCCATTGTGGAAAATTTCACTCCCGTCACAACGGCGCCCTTCATTCGATGAAGGCTGCCCTTGTGAAGATTTCAGATGTTTGTAACAGGGATTTTCCATTGAACAATCATGTTGTGACCAGCAGTCTTCTACTACAGCACAAATTCTAACGTCCGTCATCTACGATTTTCGTTGGTGAAGGGATCAATAACTTTTTTGCGGTCGACAAGGATGTCTCTGTGTGTGTGTAGCAAGGCGAGGCTGGTCAGGTGTGTTTCGCTTATCTGTGATCGCAGTCATGTCTTTAATCGGTGGAGTGTAGAGAAGGCACTGGGGATGCTGACAGGGAGGGTGGCCAGTATTTGTAAAAGTGTCTTGAACAAAGGAAATATGTCGACGTCGCAAATAGGGAGTTAACAGCAGTTGCAGGGATGTCTACTCCTTCTTCTCTTTTACGCTTTCACTTTTCCCGCGATAGCCGCAGTTCTGCTCCAATAACATTCGCACTTATTGGGCCATGCCCTAGGAGTGATCCATAAAGCTGGGCAACCTGCATTACTATTTTTGTTTCGTCACCCGATGGTATGTTCAGCAGCTGGGATGGCATAAATAGGAATAGCTCGCAAACTCCAAAAACATCTTCATCAAATCTCCATTTGAGGTCTGCCAATACATTATCCAGTAGTGGAACATATACTGATGTCCTGTAGAAACTAACTGGATCAAGTGCTGGAGTGTTAGACCTGTGCGACTGTCTCTTTGTGATGCGGGGAAGGCTCAGCTCTGTTTCAAGTTCGTTTGTGAGTGCGATGGCTTGCTCGTAGAGAGGTGTAAACGCCTCTTCTTTGCTTCGTCTCTGAGCATTCAGGGCAGCCACAGTATCTGTCAACGTATTCCTCGCTGTGTGCACATGAACACACTCCTTTTGGTAGAGGCGACTCACTGGAAGCGTGTACGCCAATAGGTTCGAGAGGCAAGCTGTTGCTATTATGAGCTCACCATCGCTCACAGCGGCAGGGAGAGTCTTTGCTTTTGCGAAGCTCTTTCCAGTTAGCGACGACATCAACAGCTCCCGCCACAAGGACAAGAGTCCTGAAATTGGATGATGCTGTCATGTCGCTCCACCCACCTCGTCTCACAAAGCCCATTAAGTTGATGGCCAAGTATGCTTTTAAGCACACTGTTTCGTTTCGGTGAGGTGGTGTAGAAGGAAATTACCTCTTTTATTATCCCTAAGGCGTTCTTGGCGTCTTGAACACGCGATGACTTCGATAGGAACAAGTTGAGTGCGTGGTTGAAACACGGAGAGTGAACTGCTTTTGTGGCACACCGCTTTCTTTCAGAGATGGCACCACACATTTCCAACACCATAACGCTGCACCCATCTGTAGCTATGCCAACGCACCTGCCCAAGTCCAGTTGTAGTTCCTTCAGCATCTTTCAGAACCCACTCACCAAATACTCTCCCTGTCAGTACGGGCTCAGCTACATTGGCTTCCATAGCATGGCTGTCAATGGGAGGGTCAGCGAACTGGAAGAAGTCCTCTCGTACTACGTTCTTGTGTACATACCGCAGAAGAAGACTTAGTTGGGACGTGTGAGATACATTGGTTGTTTCGTCAAACATAATGCTGTAGATGCTTATGCATGCACCCAATGAATAAGTGTTTCAAGAACCTTGTCTTCACAGCACTTCATTAATTCATTTTGAATCGTCTTGGTGATGTACATGGCTTGAGATGATGAGCTGGCAAGATGCTCTAAGTTCCGTGTCACCGCTTGACACTCAGAAGCTCGCAAAAATTTCCCCTATTCAAAGTCACTGAGAACTCATTCGACCGCTCACTAAAGCTTCCGTCATCTCGATGTCCACGAAATGGTAAATTTTGGCGCCCTTGAAAGATGATTGGCTTTATAATTGGCGCTAGGTGGTTACGGTTGTCATTC